ATATAAAATATATGTATTATATATATAAAAAAATATATATATAATACATACACACACTATAAGGACATGGAAGACTCTCAAAATATATTAGGTTAAACAGTTGTAGGACGGTATGCATAATAAAACCTAATTACATGTTGTTTTTAGAGAGAGTTTTGTTATAGGGTGCATGTGCTCACTGGAGAAACAGAGACAGAGAGACATAAAGCGAGAAATTACTTCTGGGGGGATGGCCACACTGCAATTCCTTTTCCTCCATTCTCCTCCTGGGATACTGGGCACCCACTCACACATGCCCAGCATGAGTTTCAAGCTGCCAAGTCTAGGTCTTGAACCACAGTTGACCACGTGGGAGTAAATATATGTATTATATATATAAAAAAATATATATATAATACATACACACACTATAAGGACATGGAAGACTCTCAAAATATATTAGGTTAAACAGTTGTAGGACGGTATGCATAATAAAACCTAATTACATGTTGTTTTTAGAGAGAGTTTTGTTATAGGGTGCATGTGCTCACTGGAGAAACAGAGACAGAGAGACATAAAGCGAGAAATTACTTCTGGGGGGATGGCCACACTGCAATTCCTTTTCCTCCATTCTCCTCCTGGGATACTGGGCACCCACTCACACATGCCCAGCATGAGTTTCAAGCTGCCAAGTCTAGGTCTTGAACCACAGTTGACCACGTGGGAGTACAGAGCCTCAACCACTATGCCACCTGCTGGCCCCAATTATATTTTTAAAAGGTCTAAATCGATGCATATGAAACACAGGCAACAGGGCTGCCTGCAAGAGGTGGGTGAGATGGGCAGTGTGAGTGAAGGAAGGGGCCTGCGTTTTGCTCCATTTACTGTTCAACTGGTATGTTTAGGGCCAGTGGGGAGCATGGTGGTTAAGGCGCTGGATCCCATGTGGCCAACCATGTGGATCGAGTCCTGGAGCCAGTGGCACATGAGTGTGTGCCCAAAATCCTGAGAGGAGAATGGAGAAGTCACTGTGGTGTGGCCATGCCCAGAAGGATACTCTCTCACCACCCAACCCCATCTCTCTCCAGTGAGTGCATGCACCCTATAGCAAAAAATAAAGTAAAAAAAATAGAGAATCAGCAGATGGTGTTATGGTTACATTGCTGGACTCCCACGTAGTGGACAGCAGTTCGGGTCCTGGGCGCAGCAGCTTAAAACTCACACCCCTTAACATCACCCTCCTGGCAAGTATATGTGCACTGTGGCAAAATCTAAAACAAAGGTAGAAAACTGGTCTGCATTCTGGCTAACATGTTTGCATAAGCCTCATTCCAGCCCTCACTCCAGCACCGAGGATGGACTCCTAGCAGCTTGAGGTAAGAAACTTGCTCTGTGACATCTGCATGCAACCCAGAGAAGGTCATCCCCAGGTTTGGTACCCACTTCCCCCAAACTGTGCTAGTGACTTGTGTCACCCAGAAAATGAAACACTCTACCTCTTGTGTCCTGAGGGACAAGTTTCTCCCCTACTTCTTATCACTGTGTTGCTGATAATATAAAATCTGATTTCTCTCCTATCCCAGGCCTATGGAAGGAAAAACCTGGGGGTCAGGTGGCAACATATGGGGTGAAGCTGAAAGAGGTCACCTGGGGGTCAGGTGGCAATATGTGGGGGAAGCTGAAAGAGGCCACCTGGGGGTTCTCTGCTCCTGTCACTATAAAGCCTCCTGGGAACATCTGGATTTGCTGCCAGCTTCAGTAACAGAAGTAGCTTTTTGGACATGGTCACCTGAGCATGAACTAGGTGACAGTGCTCAGCCAGGGAGATTTCTTCTCCCCGACATGCGAGGGCTCACTGGACGGTGAGACTGGGGCAGACCTGGGTACACATGGCCCTGCCTGTCCTCTCTCCGCAGCAGGGCCTGCCAAATGGCATGGGCAGCTCTGTACTGTGCTGCTCCCCCTGGTGGCCATGGCAGGCAGTGGCGGGGGGCCAGGTCTGGCCAGAGCTGTCCAGGGCTGGTGAGTGGCTTCTCTAATTCCAGGACTGAAAGCAGGATCAAAATAAAATCCCCTGGTTAAAACCCGTTGGCATGCAGACCTCCAGATGTGCTACCCTGGCAAGGACAGGACTTCGCTTAGGTAATATGTGCTCTGGGATGCACAGCCTGAAAGGAATCACGAGGAAACACCAAATGCAAAAGGAGAAGAACAATATTCTTTTGATTTTTAATTTGCTATAGGGTGATTGTGCTTGCTGAGAGACAGAGAGAGAAAGGGTAAAAAAAAAAATCACCTCCAGGGGGAATGGCCATGCTGCAATCCCTTCTCTTCTATTCTCCTCTCAGGATTTTGGGCACACACAGACATGTGCCTGGTGTGATTTTTCAAGCCACCGGGTCCAAGACTCAAGCCACGGAGGAGGCCATGTGGGATCCAGGTGCCTCAACCACCACGCCACCAGTTGGCCCCAAAATGCTCTATTTTTGACAAAAGAAGATGACTATATTTTTCTAAAATATAAACATCAAGAAGATCTAAAATGACAAGGGAAATGCTCGCCATTAAAGGGCACTAAGAGGCTGGCCCTGAGGTGCAGCAGAGAAGTGCCGCTCAGAGGGAGCCAGAGCCCACGTGGCCGTCCTCGGTTTGGACATCAGCCTGGGGGCGGCACGTCAGGTGCACATGTGCACATTCCCAGGGTCTTGACAGGATGTAAGAATGGAGAAAGGACGACTGCAGCGTGACTGGCCACATTGAAGGGTTCTTCCTCTCCGGTGTATGCATTCGTGTGCCCTCTGACACTTAAAAAAAAGAAAGAAAGAGAAGTGGACCAACAGGCGGTATGGTGGTGAAGGTGCTGGCTCCCACTAGCTAATTCAAGTCACAGTCCCAGGGGCTTGAAACTCACACCGGAGGTGTGTGCCCAAAATCCCAAGAGGAGAGAACAGAGAAAAGACTATGACATGGCCTTACCCCCCGAGGGCTGATTTCTCACTTTCTCTTTTTTTTCCCTCTGGTGAGTATACGTGCCCTATGGCAAAAACCTTTAAAATAAATAAATAAATAAAAAAGAAGGAGGCTGAGGGGCTGTGACAGCTTAGCCAATACCTGACCCTGCACCACTGGAGAAGGGGAAGTGCCTTCCAGGGCGTTACTGACTCAACTACCAAGTTGGAAAAAATGGAAAGCGTATTAGAGAAGACAGCACTGATGCTAAATTTGCTGAAGGACGTAAGCGTGCAAGTATAAAGAGAAGACTCCTAGTCTTACAGGATGTGCGCTGAAGTATTTAGGATAAAGGGCTGTGACATATTTATCCTCAAGCG